ATCCTATCCTATCCTATCCTATCCTATCCTATCCTATCCTATCCTATCCTATTGAATATAATAAGGAACAATGAACATACCTTTCCTTAAATGAAGCTGATGACATTTCCTCAAGTACTTCCCTCTTCCATCTCCTTCCTTACCTTCCTAGACCAGACAGTGGTTCTGCTATCTTTATTTTTCATTCATTTTTAACTCCTAAAACTGTTAGCCATCCTGCCAAGGGTGGCGGCAGTCCTGCTCCAAGTCTTCTCCATCTCCTAAGAAGACCCCTCCCTCAGCAGCCCCTATCTCCATCCCCTGCATCTCTTCCTTTGCATCCTAGGCATCCGCTAAGTCTCCCCATTCCACGAAGTCTCCTTCTCCAGGAAACGTTCACGGTGAACAAGAAGGAGAAGCACTACGCTTTGGAAACCAGACTGGTGATTGACGAGCAGGAAGACTCCATTCTAGCACTTACCTTGGGCTATCCCACTAAAAATCCACACGTAAGTGATGAGCATGGACAGAAAGCGGGGGAAGGAGTCACCCTTGCCATTCTCAAGAGCTATGGGATTATCTTCCTTCCATCTCTAGGTATGTGCAAGATTGACTCATCCATATAACAGTGGCATTTTCCTTCAAAATACAGAAATGTGCATCATGGTGAGGAATCTCACTCAGGTAAGTTGGAGGCAGAAAAGAAGGGAACAATTTTGCCAAATGTAAAGTACGAGCTCTGTGCCTGTTGGAGTTCTTCCAGTCGATGGCCCCAAGCTTATTTTCTTACCCACAATAATAATTCAGATTCTAGAGGAATCTTGGCCAAATGACCTCCAAATTATGGACCCTGTGTCTGTTGGAGTTCTCCTAATGAAAAAGAAAACAGCTTGTGTTTTCTTTGCCACAGTATTAGTTCAGATTCTAGAGGAATATTGGCCAAATGATCTCCAAATGATGGACTGTTTGCCTGTTGGAGTTATTCTGACCTTAATACTTAAGTTTCACATAGTCTCTGAGATTCCAAATTTAGGAGTTTCTTTGCTGACCCAGCAGTTTGAAACCATGAAACTATCAAACCCTACAGGCTAATCAAGAGCTTGAAGTGAAACTGAAAGTCAGTCAAGAAGAAGTACTAAGCATCCTGGGAAAATACCACAATAAATCTAGCATGGGCCAATCCCACCATCTGATACAGCTGGATTTCACCCCTTCATTCCAGGTACATATATCCATATTAACAATTTAGAATTAAAACGGAATCAATCCCAAAGGGGAAAAAAAAAGAAGCTGGATTTGGAAGTATGTCAGCATCAAGGAAAATAAATGCCAAACTAGGTGTAGGAATCTAGTATCTCCAGAGGGTTTGGGAATAGCTGATCTGTGTCATAAACCAGAGTTAAGCTTCTTTTAACTCCTTTTTAAAAACAGGTAATCCAGCAGTTCAACATTTGGCTTAATGGACCAGACTCTGGATTTGAACTCTATCCTCAATTTCTTCAACAGAATTGGTCACATTTTCCACAAACTATTCAGGTACTGGAAAATATATTTTCCACCGTCATCTGTAATCATTTATGTTGACTCTTCTTCATTTGTGTTCCCCAATTCTATCAATACACTAAACCAAAACACTGAATCAGCACCATAGTGCAGTCAAAACAAGAGTCAAACAGCTGACTTTGTGCTCATTGTTGCTAGTTACACTGATGATATTAAATTGTTGGGTAATAAAACATGTACAAGAAAACAACCAAGCTCAGAAAGCAGCAAGGACCTCACCGTTCACTTACTTTCTTCTTCTTCTTCTTCTTCTTCTTCTTCTTCTTCTTCTTC